TGTACACTAAACACACACACACACACCAAGTTAAAGATTTAATTATGACTGTAGTGTAGAGGAAACAGTATATAAGTTAGATAAACTAAAGCAACAAATAACATGACGTCAACAATCAGTGTAAGAAGTATTAAATAACTTACAGGAAATAGTTACATCAACACCCACAGTGATAGTGTGGCAGCTGGGGCTAACACAACATGTCATGAGAGAACAATAGCAAATAAACAAAGAACCTGGGGAGAAGAGACAGTGAGAAATGTGGTGGACTTTGTATAAGAGTTGATCATCACTAATGTAGCTTTAATTATTATTGTACTAGTAACCCAGAGAGAAACTGGTGTTGGTACAGGAATGACACAAGTCTAGTTAATAAGACTGAACTATTGAGTGCTGCACAGGTGGACACACAACAGCCAGACATCACTGGGATCAGTCCTGGGGTTAAGAAGAGGTGTTCCAGGGTGAATTTTGTTTACCAGGTTATCAACCACCATTCAGAACGGACAGGCCTGTGGTGTACTACTGTACTGTATGTTAAGGAGCACCTGACAGTAAGCAGTAATAATGAGCTAAATGATATTATATAATCTGAATCTATTTGATGTGAACTAAAAGCATAAAACAAAAGCAAGGTGACAGTAGGTGTGTTATAAGGCTGACTCAGCCTCACAGGGGGAAGTGGCCGACTCCAAAGTCGTCCAGAACACAAGCTCTCATTGTGAGACAGTAGATTGATGACTCATACCACACAAACTGGAGGAGAATTCCTTGACCTCCTTGAAGACTCATTCCTCACACAACACATGACAGGACCGACCATAAAAAAAACCTTCTGTATATACTGTACTGTACTCTTGACAACTGAGATGGAGTCACAAGGTCCACGTCGGGGAAAAACTAACTCTGGCCCACTACACACACTTGCTTTATGTCAACTCACTATATGCACTGTGTCTGTAAACTCTGAGGGATGCCTTCTTCCAACACCTGACTGATCAATGCATCACACAATTTCATGGAGAGAATATCCTGCTTAACACATTTACTCATTTTCCTTGAAATGGTAACAGACTACATGGATCAAGGCTTACTAGTGGATGTGTTGTACAGTTGAGGTCATAATTTTGCTCCCATGGTGAAACAGAGTCTCTGAACTGACTTACCCTGAGTATCGTCTGATGTGGGTGTGCTATTTTATCTCATTTGGGATCGAGCAAACTTTTGACCGCTAGTGTACGTGGTTTCTCTAGGGTGCTTGACAAAGTCCCACATTCACAGGTAGTCTCTAAAATCCAACCACATGGCATCACAAACGAAATTTTGAAGTGGATTAACAACTGATTCAAGCACAGGACACAAAGGGTGGTCATAAATGGTGTACAATCAGAATGGAAGAAGGTTCTCAGTGGTGTAGCACAAGGATCTACCATTGAATCCATCCTGTTTGAGATATACAGTAAAACCTCGTTAAGGTGGACCCAACGGAGGCGGATATTGCTTAAGCTGGACAAAATTATTTGCCAAGAAAGAATTCAAAAATAAAAATAAACAAGACATGAGCACGTGAGACACAGGTGCCCAAGAGTTATCAACAATTGTTTTGGGGAATATTATTTCACTCACTCTAGTAATGATACAATGTGTCTTATTATGATACAATGTTTCTTATTATGTTATCATAGGTAAATATATGGTTTATATAATTTGTTTATCACTGTTTTCAAGTTATACTACAAGATACTGTATGTATTTCTCCTATACGTACTGTATTTCAATCATAAGCCTGGCAACGGGAGCCAGGGAGCGAGTGAGTGACTAGTTAGTGTCGTCTGTAACTCTCCTCACTCCCTGCTATATTTCACCGGACTTATTGCTATTATTAGTGTTTACTGATATAATAGTGCTTAACAGTGATTAAGCATGGCATTGTAGCCAGGTTAGACTCAACACTGTAACCACCAGGCTACTGGGCCAAGCTGTGAGGTGTTACATGGTTGTTTTTCAACTCGTATTTTTGAGTAGATATAAGTAACTTCCTCACTTATTTTTACTCTACTACACGCACACACCATCCTACATACATAATGTGAAAAAGTAAAAGAAATAATTGTCCTAAGGGCAAACACATAAATGGAACTGACAGTTCTTTCTATACGAGTTAGCTGACTGAGTGAGGGGAAAACAGTCAGTGTGTGTGTGTGTGTTGGGGGGCGCATTGCAAGGGAATCAGCGTCCCAGCTGATCTTCGTTACTATGGTGAAACAGGGAGTGTATGCAAATGGAGACTGTTTTAAGCTTTCATTAGGCTTTTATTTACTTTTTTGGCAATACAATACAGTAAGTTTTGTTAGTACTGTATTATTCCTCACATTTCCTGGTACTGTATATTTAAGAAAACTGGCAACAGGAGGAATATACAAAAGCAATTTCTTTAAATACAGTGCTACTGTATTTTTTATATCATTATCGTTTTTATACATTTAGTATATTCACCGTAGGCTGAAGCACCAGTCATATTTTATGCATTATTATTGAAAAAATAAACAATAAACACGGCCTCTAAGAAAGTGTTTAGTACCCATAAGGGTGGTGAGGTTAAGCCGATGGCCGTATCAGTGAACTAAAAGTAAGTGTACAGTACCTTGTGTACATTACTTTAAAATTTATTTTGATTAGAAAACATGTACAGTATTTCTTCCTATCTCCCTCCTAAACCTAAACTTATCCAACTTGAATCTGTTGCTCCGAGTCCTATCCTGCTCGGATATTATAAGAACTTTATCTATATCCCCTTTATTGATTCCTTTCACCCACTTAAATACTTATATCATATCTCCCCGCAGTCTTCGTCTTTCTAGGGCATGCAAGTTAAGTTTCTTTAACCTATCCTGATATGGAAGGTTTCTAAGTCCCGGAATCATTTTTGTCAATCTTCGCTGCACCGACTCTAGTGAATTTATATCCATGTACGTCCCAGTCTGGATTACTGTACACGGTACAGGCATGGAAACCCTCTCCAGAAAAACCTAACATCCTTAGAAAGGTTCAACACAGTGACTAAGATGATTCTTGATTTATGTCATCTTGATTATCCAAATAAATTGAGGGCCTTGGGGTTAATAACCCTTCTGACAAGACACAACAAGGCATAACTCATAGACATTCAAACTCTTGAAAAGGATGGAAAACATGAATCTGGGTCATGTCACGCACCACCAAATTAATGGGACATGACTCTAAGCTTGGCAACTTATCATACAGAATAAAAATAACCCAAGACAAGACTATCAAGAACGATGGAAGGATCCTACATAGACCACTGGCCTCCTTTCCTCACCCTGACCACCTCCAGTGGGTGGCCATTAAGGCAAATAAAGTAAATATTTATTTATCATCCAAATTAAGTAATTTTGAGACAAGTTTCAGCAATAACTAATCTTCAGATTTGTTGTGTCACACCTTGTGTTACACAACTGTTTGTATGGTTTTACTTGACAACACAAACACCTTTACACTAAAACAGTCAAACATTTATACAAAACACACACACACTTTTAAACAAATACAAGTACCGTATATATATACAAACAAACTCTCTTCAATAAATGCACATGCACACAAACACATTTACATAAATGTCCACTTTTAGATGAATACACTATTGGAAATTTGTTTAATTAATTCAAGGTTCATAATTAATGCTAATTAGTGACATTTTGTCATTCTGAATCCAGATCCTTAATCAGTTTTTAAAACAGTACAGTACAGTACAGTACAGTACAGTACAGTACAGTACAGCACAGTACAGCGCCTCTGATTAATTTGAACCAAATCTACATCATGACCTCATGTGCCCAAACACAAGATAAGGGTAATACACTTAAATAATAAAGCTGCTCCATATTCTTGAAAAAATGTATTTAAATGTGAATTAAAACTAATGGGTAGAGTGCATTTAATGTTTTGAGTACTGTAGTACAGTACTGTACATTACTGCATGTAAACACAAGTACAGGTTGGGTATCCTAAATGCTTGGGGCTTTAAGGGTCTCGGATTTGGGATATTTTTGGAACATCTGTATACAGAACCTGTATAATGGGGTAGCTCACCCAGCAGGGATGGGCCCCAAGTCTATGCAAAAATTAATTTATATTTCATTTACAGTATATGGATATACAGTATATATTCTGCAGGTAGTTTTATGAAATATAATTTATTAATTTTGGGTATAAAATACTGTATATGATAAGCTGTACTACACTAAAGACCCAGAAAGGTAAGCAATCACTACCATCTGTTTGGCATCACCATGACGCCTGACTCTGAGGCACTAAGCAGCCTGTGTCTCACCCTTTTTCATAACACATACAGTACATACTTACCCTACTATAAATTATGATACATACCATATTCAGTGTACAGAATTATCTACCATAAATACAGTATAATGAAATAGACTTTCGGATTTCACAGCATTTCGGACTTGGTAATTTCAGATACGAGAAACCCAACCTGTAGTTGACTCAGCTGTACACCTAATAAGAACAACATGATGTGAATTAACAGTAGGTAAGTCTCACCTCCAACATGTCAGCAGTGTTTCATCAGTGGCGTCATATATGAGTCTGTCCCTCAGGTCAGTAGTGTTTCATCAGTGGCGTCATATACTGTCCCTCAGGTCAGCAGTGTTTCATCAGTGGTGTCATATACTGTCCCTCAGGTCAGCAGTGTTTCATCAGTGGCGTCATATACTGTCCCTCAGGTCAGCAGTGTTTCATCAGTGGTGTCATATACTGTCCCTCAGGTCAGCAGTGTTTCATCAGTGGCATCATATACTGTCCCTCAGGTCAGCAGTGTTTCATCAGTGGCGTCATATACATCCCTCAGGTCAGCAGTGTTTCATCAGTGGTATCCATATACTGTCCTCAGGTCAGCAGTGTTTCATCAGTGGCGTCATATACTGTCCCTCAGGTCAGCAGTGTTTCCATCAGTGGTGTCATATACTGTCCCTCAGGTCAGCAGTGTTTCATCAGTGGCATCATATACTGTCCCTCAGGTCAGCAGTGTTTCATCAGTGGCGTCATATACTGTCCCTCAGGTCAGCAGTGTTTCATCAGTGGTGTTCCTCAGGTCAGTGTGGCATCATATACTGTCCCTCAGGTCAGCAGTGTTTCATCAGTGGCATCATATACTGTCCCTCAGGTCAGCATCAGTGTCAGTCCCTCAGTAGTGTTTCATCAGTGGCGTCATATACTGTCCTCAGGTCAGCAGTGTTTCATCAGTGGTGTCATATACTGTCCCTCAGGTCAGCAGTGTTTCATCAGTGGCGTCATATACTGTCCCTCAGGTCAGCAGTGTTTCATCAGTGGCATCATATACGTCAGCAGTGTTGTTGGTCCTTGTAGATTCCTGGAAATACAACCAATAACTATATAATACACAACACTTATTATATTATAGGCTAGGCTTATTTAACCAATACCTGGCTGAATAACCACCAGTTATTTAACCAATATTTGGCTGAATAACCACAGGTTATTTGACCATTATCTGGCAGAATAACCACCAGTTACTTGACCAATATCTGGCTGAATAACCACCAGTTATTTGACCAATATCTGGCTGAATAATCACCAATTATTTGACCAATATCTGGTTGAATAACCACCAGTTATTTGACCAATATCTGGCTGAACAACCACTGGTTATTTGACCAACAAAATTTAATTTTTACCATAAATATCGAGTCAAAAATTCTTGAATGTTGGTGCAAAAATTTTGGTATCGGTACAGCCCCAGTGCAAACATTTTATATATATATTTATATATATATATATATATATATATATATATATATATATATATATATATATATATATATATATATATATATTTTTTTTTTACGGGGATTGGCTCACCCGGGCACAGGTCAAACGACCCACAACGGAAAGAAATTGAAAATATAGAAAAAAAGGTTATACTGTATTAATCTACAGTACACCACGAAGATGCCGGAAAACCAGCTTTTTAAAGTAAGACAGATTGTAAGAGCATGGAAACACAGAAGAAGGCAGAGCATTCCACAGTCTGACTATGTGAGGAAAGAAGGAGGTACTATAACGGGTTATTCTCGTGTGACCGACATCCACAGAGAAATGGTGGGCACTGCGGGCAAGACGAGTGTTACGAACCCACGGCCTTGCCGGCGGTACACAGGATGCCAAATCCACTGAACATTGCCCGTTAAAGTACCTGTAAAAGAGAGAGAGAGTGAAGCAACACTGCGGCGAAGAGAAAGGGGAGATAGATTGTCGACTAAAGGAGGAGAGTTAATAAGACGAAATGCCTTTGATTCCACCCTATCTAATAGTTGGACAGAAGAAGAGCCACCCCAGATATGAGAGCAGTACTCCAAGTTAGGAATACCATAGATGTATTCAAGCTTCCCTTGTGACCTAAATGCTAAAAATAAGAATTGACTCTCTGACAAAACATCAAAAATAAAAAAATAAAAAAACTTTTTCCTTTGGCATCGGTATCGTAAGGTAAGCTTTTTGGAGCTACTATAGAGTGCGGTCTACAAGATATTTAGGTAAAGTTAAGTTAGGTTAGACTAGACACAGGAACCTTGAGTATAGAGACAGGTTAAAGCATCTTAATTTGCACTCCCTTGAGAGACGTAGAGCGAGGGGCGACCTGATAGAGGTGTATAAGTGGAAGGCAGGGCTAAACAAAGGGGACATTACAAAGGTACTCAAATTATCCAACCAGGAGCGAACTCGTAACAATGGTTTTAAATTAGACAAATTTAGATTTAGGCGTGAAATAGGTAAACACTGGTTTGGAAACAGAGTAGTGGATGAATGGAACAAGTTACCAAATATCATCATTAACTCGAATACGCTGAATTGCTTCAAACATAGGTTGGATGCTCATATGAGCAATAGGGGTTGGGTGTAAACGGGACTGCCCAGTATGGGCCAATAGGCCCGCTGCAGTTTCCTCCATTCTTATGTTCTTATGTTATCTCTGTAGACTGCACACTATAGCAGCACCAGCTTTTTATAGTAGGTATTAGTCCAGGGAAATTAGAAAATTTTTATGCCAAATGTTGAAATAATTCATAATGAAATGATACTTGGTAGAACTAGTCAGAATATGTTCCTAAACAGCATACTAAACATCCTGACCGATCACTGTTGTTGCTAGTGTACCATAGGTGGGTAAATTTTTCTTGTAGCTCCGTTCACTTGTAGCAAGTTAAAAATATGTTTTTCTAGTGTATTTGTGTGTGCTGAGACCGAATATGACCTTCCTTTTTGGCGGAAATTAGCCATTTTTTTTTTTTTTTTCGTTTGACGTTTTCCGAGAAAAAAAAGTGCCTAAGCGACTAACAAATACACAATAAAACAAGAAAAACAATAACCAAGCCTAACCTAACCTGACCTAATTTAACTGACTCTCACCGTATGATGGAATCACCTATTTCTTACCTTATTGGCGTGGTTCTTGTTCGTCGTTGGATTCTGGGATTCTTACACAACGCCACATATGTTGGTCTTTGCAATATTTACATTCAGTCGTGCTTTTAGTACACTTTACTGAGGTTGGAAGAACACCATGCGACCGAAAAATGCTATAGTTTCTACGTTATTTTTTTTCCAAAAACTCGCAATCAGCTCCACATACTTTGTGACACCCATCGCAGACTTCCATGGTCGGAACTGAACTTGAATTTCAAAATATGAGACCAAAAATAAAACTCGATTTTGATTGGGCCAAATATACTCTGAATTAGCAAAAACGTTTTTGATTGGCCGCATGACATGTACGGATACGCATGCGCGTCACGATTTATGAAGGAGAAGCGAGACACACTCGGTGTTAAGTGAGAGGCAGACGATAATGGCGCGATGTTAATGGAAGAAAATAGAATTTTTTTTGGAAAAGCTAGTTCTGTTATTATACATTTCGCCAGTAATGTAATAGATGAAAATTATATTATAATTAGACGTCTTATTCGAATATGATAATAGATTAGTGGTAGGAATGAACAGAGCTACTAGAAAATAATACCCAAAGATGTTAGCAGACGGTTAACAACAGAAGAAGTTGTTTGATTTCGTTCATTGTTTCCACAGATGTTCTTTGGATGATAAGTATATAATAAACATGATACAACAATGTATAGAACCTAACCTAACCAACCTTACCTAACTTCCTAGCTGGGGCAGGGAAAGAATTAACTTTGACATCTGCTACCAATGAAAGCAACTATCTTGAAATGGCACATGAGAGTACGATTGGTTGTTGCAGTGAAACACAGTGTACAGTATTTCTTCTTCACTGTCAGTTCTGGTGAACACTTCCACGTCTTGCCAACTTTTCCTACACAAGCAATAGATAACTTGTGATATGGTACTGAACACAACACGGTAAGGACGGCATTGAAAAACAGGGGATTCTTAGGAATTTTATTTTTCCAATCAATAATTTAGACAAACCTAAGACGCTTCTCTTCTACGACGTTTCCCTCACAAACGTCTTATAAAATTATGACGTCACAGTGAAGTGTCTTAGGCTTGTCTAACTATTGACCGCGAAGATAAACTCCTAAGATTCCCTGTTGTCTGAAAGCAATAATTTACCAATGAATCTCCACCTCATAATATGATGGACAACAGATATATGGCTGCGTATCATGAATTTTGATATAAAGGATGATACAATGTCATCACCTGTGACTGGCGACCCAACACAAGACTAAATTAACCATTAATTACACTTTAACTCTGGTTAATAATATACCAACAACTACTCTGTATTATTAACGTTATATAAATTATATAATATTATTAATAAATGTCTTACCGACGCCACAGGAGGTTATTTCCGGGACTGTCAAGTTGTAACATTCAGATCAAACGTCCGCCATTTTAATTCTCTGTCCCAACCCTCGCAGCAAGTCAAACATATTGTTCATCCTTTTATATCCTCAACCTGGATCATTTACATGTACAGTACTTTATATCTATAAAGACAAAAAATATAATCGTGAGAAAATGATTTGTTTTTATTTATTAGTATAGTTTTATACCTGCAATATTCATGTTATTGTTTGACAACGAAGTCATATCTGTCCGAACACCTTCAGCCACGACCAACAGTACAATAATCAAGATTTTTTTAATAGTTACCGCTTTGTCTCCCAATTAAAATGCCTTATAAATATTGTCCAAGCATCTCTACACGCGTCCAACCAGATGTATGAACGAGATTAATGACAGAGACACAGTACACTGGTTATGTAGCATCATAACCACCCGGGCCGGGCTGGCAGAGCGGCTAGACAATATGTCACAGAGTATCTGTGAGATAATGTCTTCATAGATATAAAATATTTTACAAATACTGTATAAATAAATATAATTATTATAACCTAACCGCCCCCCTCCAGTGTGTAAACCTCTATCCTAACCTAACAAGGCAAGACTATACTCTAAATGGCCTCTGAAATTGATAAAATATTACGTGAAATGTCACCAGTGCTCTCAGCTGATGTGTTGTGGTGGACAGCTGGGCGTTGATGTTGTTATGATTACCACAAACACTGCTCTAAAATATTTATCTTTGTATAAACTATTTATTTATACCTTTTATCTATAAAAAAATCTAAAGTAATAATTATTTTAAAGGTAGGTTAGATTAGGTCCAGACTCCACCTGAAGAATCGTCACCTCAGATTGTCTCACCTGAAGAATCGTGACCTCAGATTGTCTCACCTGGCTAACTAACTGTAGAGACTAACAATATATTTACCATAACAATCAGTAGGACACAGGCCGTAACTCCACCATCTCTCACGACAACAACTCAAGTGATTGATGAATTAAAATTGTTAGAAGGGAAAGTCAGGACCCTTGATATATGTTATGTACAACCATAATACTTATCTGGCAACTAATTTAAAGCCACATAGAAAACAAATCTTCATTATATTACCATAGAGAACGCAATAATTTTAACGTTTTAATGGGTAACTAATAAAGTTTATCTAATTCCTCTAAATCATTGTATTCCTCGTTGGTTTAGCACGTAAAGAAAATGTTTATTAGGAGACAACACTAAGGTGAAGTTAACAGCAACAATCATTAAAAAGATAAAAATAATTGTAATACGTTAGTGGTAATAATTAATATATGATAAGTGAATGTAAACAAATGGAATTATGGAAACGGTATAAAAAGTAAAGTATATCCCAAGCGACCATTAAAACTGACCAAATTCAACTTAACCTAACCTTACCTAACCTAACCTTACCTAACCTAACCTTACCTAACCTAACCTAACCTATATAATAAAGTTTGCTTATATTTTTTATTACTACACGAAATATTTTACTAAAAACTGAATTGTTGATGGCCTAGTGTGTGTGGCCCTCAATTATCTCAAAGGGCCGCATGAGTGGCCCTCCACACACACCTCTGAACCTTTAAGCCTTCACCTTAACCAACAGTATATATACACTGACCAGTCTGATAGTGTTGACTCAAGTCTATATGGCCTCGTGCCGATGGTGACGCGACAGTATCTGATTGGTCTTCCCATTGTGATGTTTGGAGCAGGTGATTGGCCGTCTTCATCTACCTCGGAATTTACGGCAGGTGATTGGTCGTCTTCATCTACCTCGGAATTTACGGCAGGTGATTGGTCGTCTTCATCTACCTCGGAATTTACGGCAGGTGATTGGTCGTCTTCATCTACCTCGGAATTTACGGCAGGTGATTGGTTGTCTTCATCTACCTCGGAGTTTACGGCAGGTGATTGGCCGTCTTCATCTACCTCGGAATTTACGGCAGGTGATTGGTCGTCTTCATCTACCTCGGAATTTACGGCAGGTGATTGGTCGTCTTCATCTACCTCGGAATTTACGGCAGGTGATTGGTCGTCTTCATCTACCTCGGAATTTACGGCAGGTGATTGGTTGTCTTCATCTACCTCGGAGTTTACGGCAGGTGATTGGTCTTTTTCCGTGAACAGTATGGATTTCTAGAAGGTGATTGGTCGTGCCCCAGGACCATAGCACTGTCTTTCCCGGATTCACGTAAGTCACGTTTCAGGTTGATGAAGCCTCGGGCCGCCGTCCTTGTTGACACAGCTGATGAGAATGTTTTGGATCACCTGAAAATTAGACACCCGAGTTTATTTCATTTAAGGACTAAACAACTGAACCTAACATATCGCTAACATAACCGAGTATAACTTAACCTAACCTAATATAATATAGCCCAATCTAAACTGACCTAACGTTAATCAAACCCAACGCTAACCTTACCTAACCTAACCAAACCAAACAGAATGCTAACCTAATCTAACGTTATGGTGGTTAACCTTGTGGTGAAATATTTACCACACACACGACTAGCGTTCTTCAAGGCAGTGATGGCCTGTATAAAGCTGCGTGACAGTCTCCCTCAATACGCACTAATGTATATTTTACGCCAGCGACAAGACGAAAGCGTATCATTATTGATCACTCCGCGCAAAGGTGGTCATTACTGGAACAATGACGATTTTAAGGAATATCTATATGTCTATCTATCTATCTAACAATCTCTGTGCGTGGTTATCCTATAACATGTAAACATAAGACCTATGACACCCATCTCGTATCCAACCAAGTGTGTCTCATGTTTAACTGACATTAATTTCCCCAAAACACAACGAGCCTAATTTAATCAGACGTCTGGGGTGTTTACAACTTTACTTGTATCATTACGAATCATATTTTGTGTTTTAAAAGATCTTAGATGCCAGATGAGGTTTTATGACGGTTCTTATTATTGTTGAGGTATATAGTGGGTTTTTTAATAGCAAATGAAGTGTTTCCCCGTCTGGAGTACTGTCACTCCGTCTGGTCCCCGATATATGCTAGAGACTGGCAATTGATTGAAACTGTCCAAAGGAGGGCCAGACTGGTGCCTGCAGTAAGGCACCTCAGGTACCCAGAGAGATTACAATGCCTGCAGATGTCTAGCTTATACTACAAACGGGCAAGGGGGGAAGGACCTAATCGAAGTGTATAAACATCTCAGGGGGCACTACCCAGTCGAGTGTCCTTACTTGGAGCTGGTGGAGGCTCGCCCCACAAGGGGTCACAGCTCAAGGTTGAAGAAGCCACAAGTCCAGAAAACTGTGAGGGAAAACTTTTTCGGAGTGAGAGTTGTGAACTCTTGGAACAATCTACCAGAGAGTGTTGTGACGGCACCGAGTGTGAGCTCTTTCAAGACCAGACTTGACCAACACTGGAGCAGGTTCAGGTACATTCAGGAGCCGGTGCATGCCCAGTACTTGCCAACAGTGCGTAACAGAGACGTGATCAACCGCCCAAGCGACTAACAAGCCGATCAGTGGTGAAGAGGATAAAAGTAAAAGTAAAAGCTTTAGATGCGTATTAAGGTATGATAGGTAATTAGGACTGGTAAGTGAAATATGAAGAGTGGTTACCGTGGAGTTTGTTGACTTAGATACTTTTGGGGGGATAAATGACAGTGAATAACTACATCTAATCTAATCTAACCTAACCTAACCTACCTTAACCTAACCTAATACCCGTAGATAGCGTTAGGGTGGTGGTTAATCATCAAAATTCACTAAATAAACTGGGGTGTCTAATCTTCAAATGATACGATTTATATGCATATTAACTAAGCTATTAAAAAATCGTAATAAATATTATACCAACTTATCGATGGTTGAATAATGACAAAATAAAAAAATAAACACTAATTGATCTGCCTTGCTTGGTCTGGTGCGCTAACTGCTGAAATAATTAACTTTTACCAGATGTTATAAATCGTATGTTAAATGGACGACACTACCACCATACGACAACCCATGTGTGTGTGTGTGTGTGTGTGTGTGTGTGTGTGTGTGTGTGTGTGTGTTTCTGGTTATCCATCAATAAGTATAATACGGAGGGAGGGTCGGGCCAGTGTTTGTCCCGTTGGAACTCAGTCGCCGTGTGGCAGCTCTCACGCACGTTCATCGCTGTTTACACCCGGAAAACTAACATCACCTAACGTACATACAAACGAATCATTTAATCTGTGTATACAAGACTAAAATAATTATAAAACATAACACTCGTGAATTTTGTTTAGGTTTTAAATACAAGTCCAAGATTGTGAGTAAAAGAAGAGGAAGAATTTGCCAAGTCGTCATAGTAACTTCGCAACAGGCGCATCTCACCTCACCTATCATGATGGTCGGTATATTTCCTCTTCTCAACTAAATATATATGAAAACTTATCATAATATATCGTAATTAGAAGCAATATCTACAATTTCCCTCATAAAACAACAATGAATAGTCAGATGCAATTGTTGAGGTATTGTTATTGTTGTTGTTGTGGTATTGTTATTGTTGTTGTTGTGGTATTGTTATTGTTGTTGTTGTGGTATTGTTATTGTTATTGTTGTGGTATTGTTATTGTTATTGTTGTGAGTGGTATTGTTATTGTTATTGTTTGTGGTATTGTTATTATTATTATTTGTGGTATTGTTATTGTACCGTACATGTGAACCTCTTCAAAGTCACCAAACACTGTAGGACACACACACACACACACACAATTCTGGGTTTCTGTGTGTGCCATGATCTTGTATTATTGTGTGTGTGTGTGTGTGTGTGAGATATACAGGTGGTTATTAAGGTACACACAAACACACACACAGCACAGGTTAGTGTTCACGTTCCTGGTAAGATAATCAATACTGTTTAGAGATATTCACTTAGCTGGCCTCACACACACACTGTACACACACACACACACACACACACACACACACACACACACACACACACACACACTTACATAACTACCTAAATTTCACTGAGACTCTACCTTAACTAGAGATACGTTCACTTAGTATCAGTTTCGAAGCAATATTAAGATACACCTGAAGATTAGACACCCTGCCTTATTTCATCTTGGGATTGGTTAGATTACGTTGTTATGTTAGGTTAGGTTAGAGTTATGTTAGGTTTTGGTTAGATTACGTTGTTAGGTTAGGTTAGGTTATGTTAGGTAAGGGTATCCATCATTCATATACATTAATCATTTTATTATGTATACACACTAAACTGTATAGGTGTATGCGTGTGTATAAATGCAGGAGTGATTTGTGTATATTAACGTGTACTTTAAACATGTTATACACTGCTCATATACAGGTATTAAATATACATACAGTATTATATGTATATAGTGGTATACTGAAAATACATAGGGCAATATTATACATAGCTTAAGGTAAACTGAAAATACATATACATTGATTTATGTATAACCGAGGAAGTTTTTGGCGTGAAGTTTGGATAACATTATGGCGGTGAACATACATACATACATACATACATACATACATACATACATACACTCATACATACATACACTCATACATACATACACTCATACATACATACACTCATACATACATACACTCATATATACATACACTCATACATACATACACTCATACATACATACACTCATACAAACTAGCACACCAACATATTTTACTCATACAAACTTACATACATACTTATACTCATACATACATACATACATACATACATACATACATACATACATACTGTACATACATACATTGATACATACACTCTCTGGACAAACTATACCTGTGAATAACCAGACCATGTGGCGTGAAATCGATGGTTGGTGAGAGTATACTGGTCTGAGAGAGAGAGAGAGAGAGAGAGAGAGAGAGAGAGAGAGAGAGAGAGAGAGAGAGAGAGAGAGAGAGAGAGAGAGAGAGAGAGGGGGGGTCACCACCAGGCCAATAGTCACACACTACACCACTTATAATTGTGGTTATGGTCGTAAATTGTAAAGTAAGTTCTGTAAGTGTTTCTATAGTGGAGCGTGCAAGGTGTAGTGAGGATGAGAGGGAGGGGTAGGGTGGGTGAGGGGGAGGTTGTGGTGGTGAGGGGGAGGGAGGGGTTGTGGTGGTGAGGGGAGGAAGGGGTTGTGGTGGTGAGGGGAGGAAGGGGGTGGTGGTGAGGGGGAGGAAGGGGGGTGGTGGTGAGGGGAGAAGGGGTGGTGAGGGTGAAGGGGTTGTGGTGGTGGAGGTAGTGGGGTTGTGTGTGTGTGTGTGAGAGAGAGAAAGAGTGTGTGGTTCAATCACATCGATTACCCGACCACTCTGCCTGAAATGTTCCCCCGACTACCACTCATGCCGGTGAGATATATTATTAGATAGATAGATAGATAGATAGATAGATAGATAAAAGTCTCCAAAACTGCGCCACCAACAACCACGTCACCATCAACCATACTAAGACCATGGTTATGCACATCAACCTCTCCTCTGACCTTGTCCCGCCTCCTCCACATTTTAGGCCCCAACACACTCCAGGTTGTAGATCACACTAAGCTCCTCGGCGTCACTATACATAAACTAAATTGGAAACCACACGTCAGTGAAGTTGTCAAATCCTCCAGTTTCCGTCTCCACCTCCTCCGCGAGTCAAGTCCCTCGGAGTTCCTGCACCCGAGCTCCTCAGTGGTTTACACAACATTCATACTTCCCAAGCTCACCTATGCCTCCCCCACCTGGTCTTCCTCCCTAAATGCCACACAACGTAAACACCTAGAAAAAGTGCAAAAGAGGGCATGCAAGATTATTCTCTCCCCTTCCTACTCCACATATCAAGAAGCGCTCAACACACTGACCCTTTCGACTCTCACTGACCATCACCACGACCTCATCTGTAAACTTGGTGAGAAATTTCTGCACCATCCTCGACACCGGCTCCTACTACCACCCGAGATCCCTCGTCCGTGAATTGCTGTTCGACACCACAACAGCATCCAGCCCAACCACGTACTGATCGCTATAAGAACATCCCAGTCCCAACCATTGTAAAAATCAACAACTTGTACTGTACTTGATCTATGTGTTCAACTCCTCAGCCAATCTCACTTTTGTACTGTAGCTGTGCTGAAATTTTCTGCTTAATGACCCCTC